GACACTAAAAACTCAGATTTCTTTATTTCTCCTAAACTCAAAGGAAAGCTATTACATATAATTTTTGCCTTGTATGAAAATTAAGTTCCACTTTTCTTACTTTTCAGCAATATCTGAATGTGATTTTTAAAAAAAAATTATACAGTAAAATAGTTACATATTAAAATTAAATTTCTTTATTGTCCTCTCATAGACAGCCAGGTCTTCTCTGTACAAGAAGAATTTTTTTCACATAAGTAAAACTACATGGCATTTATATTCCTATATCTTGCCCATAATAATATTTTGGAGGGTAAATTCTTGCATCAACATACATAGGTAGAAGGTCTTGTCGATAGTTGTAGAACATTCTCTTTTATATTTTTAGCATTCTCTTTTAATGATGTACTGTAATTTATTTAATCTGCCCTTTACTTTGTTTTGGAATTGGGTTATTTTTGGACTTTTGCTGCTTCAAACCATAAGGCAATGAATATCATTGTAAAAGTTTTTCTCACTATACAAATTCTTCAATAAGTATTGAGCCAAACTGCATTGTCCTGCATTGAGTTTGTAGTGAGTAAATATTTTTAAAAAAATAAACCATTCTCCTAAACTTCAGATGATTCAAAATCTATTTTCCTCTAGTTTTCAACTACCCACACTTAGCCAGTGGCCTCAGGTTTGCATACAGATTTATAAACAATATTTAAAAGGCTTAAAAGATAGTCTATAGTTAAGTACTTAGCAAAAAATTTATTTTATTAACCAAAAATGAAATGTTCTCCAAATAGACAAAGTTTGATTGTATCTTTTCCGAAAGTAATCAGTATTGAGACTTAGTCTCTGAATATATTTGCTACATAGTTTTGATGCTTGGCCTCTCCACCTATGTTTGTTTATAAGAAGATCCAAGATATGCTTCATACCACTGAGTTACTTGATAAGAATACTTTTCCTTTATAAGGAGCTCAGAGTTACTGCATTGCACACAACTGTCTTTGAAGGCTTCTTTCTTGAAGGATCTTTGGCATCCTGACTTCAACATTTGCATGAGGCTGAGCATCACCCTCCAGTGTGGGTGAGACAAGGCCAGCCACACCTGAGAGGCCTCTTGATTCAGCAGCTCTGCAGCAGCATGACCCAACAGAGCCTCCCCACAGGCAGCAAGAAGCAGGACTGTCAAGCAGGGAGGAAGCAGGAGTGGCAGGGTCTCTGGAAACCAAGATATGGGGAGTCCCAAGTTCTGGAGGAGCAAACAGTAGGTGCTCTTGGAGTTGTCGAGTCTATGACATCTTATTATAACTTATTACAACAAGGATTTTTCTGGTCCTTGTGACTGAGCTGGGAAGCTCCTGAAGCTGTGTCCTATTCTTCTTTAATGCCCTTAATAAACAAAAAAGCTGAAGTATAACTTGAGTACCTTGCAAATTGAAAGTAACTAACTCTATGTCTTTAGCAAACAATGAGACAGTTAAGTATTTAGTCACTCAACAAATAGCAATGGAATACTTGGGAAGTACAAGGTGCTAGGGACCCATCAGCAATCCAGATAGACATCGCTGTTATCTTGGAACTAACACTCATATGAAAGGGGGAGAATAAAAACAAAAACAAAATTAAGAAACATATCAGAAAATGCTGTGTGCTATGCAGAGAAATCAAACGTGGAAATGAGACAGTAACTGGGTGAAGATTTTGAAATTAGATAAATCTCTTAAGAGAGGTAATGTTGAAGCAGACCCTCAAATGACAAGGGAATCCACTTGAGAATGAAGTAGAATCTAGAAAGACAGAGCAGCATGAGAGAAGCCAAGGTAGGAATGTGCATATTGCAGAAACAGAGGGTGATAATAGAGGCCTTTGCATGACAGGAGCTGGAGTAGAATAGCTTTCATGGCAGGAGCTGGAGCAACAGGCTGGGGCTGTACTTTAGAAGGCTGTGCATACACCACTGAGGTGTACTGCACGGCAAGGAACCATGTCAGCTCATAAACAGCAGCCAATATGATATAATTCATGTTTTCAAAAACTCAAAAGTTCATGAGCACAGAGCTATAAGGAAACTAGAGAGATCAGTTATGAAATAGTCAAGAGACAAAAATGAGAGATTTCTTTAAGTAAGAGTGGTTACAGTGTAAGAGAAAAATATTAAGAGTTCTCATATTCTTGTAGGGCAAATTCTTAGAATTTAATTGATGGTTTGGGTGAAAGGGAATGAGTCAAGAATTTTCTAAAGAAATCAAAGGAAAAATATACACTAAGTTCTAAATTTTTCTGGACACTTTAAATCAAAAAACGTCACTTTCCTTTTGAATGAATCACTGAGTCCCTTTGAGAAACATGTGACAAACAGACTGAAGCCACTGCGAAGTGTTGGGTTTCTGAGTCACTGGAGAAATATTAGATTGTTATGTTTTGACTTTGTCTTTTGGTTGAGAACACACTTTATCATTTGTCAGGTAACTGAAAATACCTAGTCCATGATCCTTAGATCCTATTAACTCCAAGATGGTACAAGGGGCAACAGGGAAGGCACAATGTTGGTTCCTGATGCTCAAAGAGGTCTCTGAGGGGCATTTCTAAGATAGTGGGAGTTCCTGTAATTGCCCATACCTACCTACTGCGTGCTATGCTGTCTTACTTGTCTATGCCCTCCTCTCCTGTGTTCCATAAGACAAATCCCAGGAACACTTCATGCACCACATGTAGGTATTTGGTGGTGGATGAGTGAATGAGTGCATGAATGAATGAATCCGGAGAACCTCATCTTTGAGTGGTTCTTTCTGAATAATACAGGTTCTTTAAACTCAACTTGTCTTTGTAGTCCTAAGATTGGCTCTTTGCCCCCAGTAAGTTTTCAGGCTGCTGGCTCTAGATCTGAGTTTCTGTTTCATTCCACATTTATTTCCTTTGTGATTTAATTATTGTACTTTTTCTATCTTTCTATCACATAGAATGGCCACCCATAAGGGAGGTTTGTGAAACTCCTATGTTAAGATGGGAGAACATTTGGTTTCAGACATTTTGCGGGTAGATGACCTAAATTCTAGCACCACTAACAGAGTGGGGCAGAGAAAGGTACCACCCTCGTGAGGGTACTGTGGAAGGCGCTATGAAATCTCTTTTCACCTTCAAAGCTGCTCTGAAACCATTGCATTGTATCTGTTGGTGGATTCAAATATCATGTTTAAAAATGCTTCCCACAGATCAGTTCAGAGATGAGTATAATGTATCCTATGAGTATTAAGTATTGACTATGTCCATAATAAAAAAGTACGGAGAGTTCCATTTATGTTTATCCTTTTATTGCAAATTGCAACAACCTGGTCAAAAAATTCTTCCTGTGGTAGTGGGACAGCTGCCAGCAAATGAGTCTGTTGAAAGGGCCACACCAAATCCAGCAAGGATCCAGGGCCAAACTTGACCACAGCTGAGTGGAATGAAGAGGGCTGACAGCGGTATGGTCGCCACCCAGGCCGGAGAGGAAGGCCGCAAGAGGAGGTGTTGGTGGAAAAACCCAGCCTCCCTCTCTTCCAAAGATGATGAGCAAAACCAAGGTGGAGCTTGTGCTAGTGAGTTTGAAAGGATGACTTTCATTTTGGGGGACAGAAATATTTACAAGGCTTTAGCCTCTTTGTATTTTTCACATACCCTCTCCCCCTCTAAGCTCCTGTTTTCTTGGTCTTAATTTGCTTTTAGAGTTTCGTGTAAGGACTTTAAATTCATACTATATTTGCTTCCTAGAACTACCATGACCGTGCACCACAAACTGAGTGGCATAAACAATGGAAATGCATTGTCTTACAGGTCTGGAGACACAAATCTGTGACCAAGAAATCACCAGGCTTGGCAGCGCAGGGAGAAGGATCTGTCCTGTGCTCCTTATCTCAATTCTGATGTTTTACTGGCAATATTTGCATACACTCATGGAAGCATCATTCTGATCTCTTTCATCCTTTAGTGGCATTTTACCTCTGTAGCTTATCTCTGTCCAAATTTCCCCTACTTATGTGTAAGGACACTGTTAGGTTAGTGGCTGATCCTACTGACTGCATCTCAACTAATGACATGTGCAATAATCCTAATTCCAAACTATGTCATATTTGGGGAGTTTGAGGTTAGCATTTTGACATGTCAATTTTGAGGTGATACAATTCATTTTATAATCATCATTAATAGTATAGTGGACTCTCTTAGAGGGACAGGTCTTACCTTCTGACCTTCAGGAGTATGGACTTAATGAATTATGGTAAAGTGCCTTTGAATTATAGTACATCATCCCCACTGCTTCCCTATGACATAGAGCCAAAAAGTATTATGAAGAACAGGATTTTCTATTTTAAAAAACCTTCATTTGGAAGACATGACCTGTATCTGCCTAGCTCTTGGTTGACTCTAAAGTTCTTGGATGCCAAATAAGTCTTAGTTTTCTAATAGAAAAAAATCAGAAGTAATAGACTTCAAATAAGAATATAAGGGAAAAAAGGAAAGAAAAAGAGAAAACACAAAGAAGGTCACAATTAATTGGGGAAACCTTTTGGAAATTATGTGGACCCACTACATGGCTACTCCCTCCTAGCTTTAATTTTGACAGAAAACAGAAGAATTTGATAGGTGGAGATAAAAAAATTGAAACAAACAGTCAAATATTCAGTGCAGTTCTGTTAAAGGCCCGTCAATGACCATTAGTGATGTCTAGAAAGAGCTGAGTAGCATTACACCTGGGGTTGAAATCAAGGTGGTTCCTGCATAGACTGGTGTGTGCTAATTAGCAGGCTCTATCCAGATGGGAATGGCAGATTGGCTTATGCCGGTCAACTAGCGAAGAGTAAGAGCCCAGACACTGGGTTACACCGTGATCTTGATGGGCCCTAGAGATTGGGCTTTTCAGAGTCTTTTTCTTCACAAACAGTAAATTTAGTTTATGACAGTGTTGGTATTAAGGACAATGTGTCAATAGTATCTATTAAAGCATTATTTTTACCTGAAAGTCCATGTTTTCCTTCTAATTTTAAAAGCAGCTCAAACATGTGTGTGGTGCTCCAAGAGGACTCTGAATTGTAGGTACTGTACCTACCCTGCTCAATGGATAAATCAGCTCTACTTGGCCAGGCCATTCCTGCCTTAGAAGATCAGCCCCAGTCCTTGTGCTCAGCAGCATTCTCCAGAGAGACAGAACCAACAGGAAACAGGTGAGTATACAGGGAAATAGATTAGAGGAGCTGGCCCACACAGCTGTGGAGGCTTCCCCACAAAAGACAACAGATGTCTGCAAGCTGGGAACTCAGGGAGATGAGTAGCATAGCTCAGTCTTACTCTGAAAGCCTCAGACCAGGGAAGCAGATGGGGACCCGAGGATCACAAGTAGGTGATTTAAATACTGAAAACCACAGGTCAGGAACCTGAAGCCCAGGCATCCAGAGATGGGAGGTAATTGTTCATCTAGTTCTAGAGGATAGATGGACTAAGTCACCCTTCCACTGCTTTTGTTCTCTTTGAGCTCCTGTCTTCCACTGGGTGGCCGAAAATCACAGATTCCTGTACACTCACCCACAGCGAGGCAGTGCAGACACCAGTGGAACAAACTTCCCATCTGAGGCCAAGTAACCTCTCCCATAGGAAGTGGAGTTCCATGCTAGCCCTGCAGTTGATCGAAGCACTTCAGGACAGGAGAGAGACTCCTTCCAAGATCCTGCAGTGTGTATCATCCTCTCCACTCTTTCATCCTTGTTTATACTTGTGCCACTGTCATCACTCTTATCACCTAAACAAGCAGTCCTAGGATCTCAAAGTGCATCTATTGTCCTGAAAATAATTCCAAGTTTAGCCTCCTTTATGGCAGAGTGGTACTCCGCTATGTAGAAATTCCCCATATTTTTTAGCCATGGGCTTCTTCTAAGATTTACATATTATGTTGGTTTTCTATAAACATGAGTACATATGTATCACTCTTATATGATGTCTGTAATTCTTTCAAGAAGATCCCTAGTAGGAGACTAACTGGGTCAAATGAAATTGCTAATTTTTGTTTTTTTGAGGAATCTGTAAGTGTAATCAATCAGACAAGCTTAAATACCACATGATTTCTCTTGTATAAGAAATCCAAAATACAAATAAAAATCAAAATAAAAAATAGATAATAGAAAGTAGGGAGATAGATTTTGTTCAAGTAGGAAGAAGATTAAAAGTTGGGAGAGGGAAAAGAGATGAAAAAATCATTAAAAGCATTATGTATATGTACCAGCCACACACAAGGACTGTAGTCACATAATGTAATCATGCCTTAGTATCAATTAAAAGCTGAAAAAAGAACCCAAACTATGCAGCAGAGGTATCCAGGCAGTCATGATGGAGTCCAGCAGCAGGGGAAGACCAGGGGAACTGGGGGAGCAAGGAATGAGAGACAGACTTCTCTTTTGAAACTTCCCCAGGAAGGAAAGGCAGATAGTGAAAGGGGTGAATCACACCTGCAAAGGCCAAAGCCCTGTTATACATTTGACATTCACCATCATGTTTGCTTCTAAGAGCAACACTGCTCTGAAGCTGTCATATCCCTCTGTTACAGATGAAGAAAAGGATGCTATGTGTCAGGGTCTGGATGTCGTGTTAGACCTTTCTAGCTATATCTAAGTCTAGGTTTCTTCTTATTTCAGTTCAGCTCAAGAAAATTTATAATGAGGACCAGAGACTCATAAGCAGGAAGAGAAATCTAAAATCTTTCTCTTAGATTTACCACTCTGTGTATTTCTTCAGGCTCCTTTGACCCACCGTCCATGTTTTGACATGGCTTTTTGACCACTAGAAGCTTGGCACTGTTTGCAGGCCAGTGATTATCACAACCTTTCCTGAACTAATAGCTGGATTAAGAAAAAAATCTTTGATTTTTACACCACTGGCCCATAATCTTCCTTAAATTCTATTTTTTGAACATCTTTTAACTGAATATCTTTTATTCAAAAATTTGCTCTGATACTTAACATAGCTTTCCAGTGACAAACACTTAAACACATTGCTGGCTTTATGAATTCAATTAGAGGCTTCTGAGTGCATTTCTGCCTTCATTTTAAAAAAAGAAAAAAAAAAAGCAGAGAAAAACACCTGACAAACTCTCCTTTTCGAGGTTTCGATTTGCCTGTTATTTAGACCTCAGAAACCAAGTGCTAGACAGACTCCCCTGGATACCAAGAGTAATTCATTCTTAACCACAGTTACTGTTCATAATGTGATAGATTTTTCTTCTCTCTCTCTTCTTCCTTTTGCTAAATGGTTCTATAACTTTTAAACAATTTCTTTGAAGCTCTTTTTCTCCCTTTTATAAATATAAATCTAGTAGTTCACCTCGTGCAAGTGTGATGTCCTGTCTTTACCATGAAACACAGTGTACTGCTTCTACTTTAGGAGTAAAGCACCCTTGAGATTTGTGAGATATTTTCATTTTCATTAAGAGTGAAATGCTATACTTTGTCTTGTGCAGATACTTGCAAACATAGATCTCAACAGAAGAGAAACACTTAATAGCCTGGGAAATAATTCCAGTATGTGGGAAATACCACAGAGAAGAGATGATCATCCCAGCCTTGTGTCAGTATATTCTCTTCATTGCGGACCGTCCTGTCATGCTTACTCCCCCAACCCTTCCTTTTCTAACCCATCTTTGTACTGTTTCTCAATATGAACTTCCTGCCTAAATCAGGTAAAATAGGTTTCAGCCTAGAGTAGGACACTCCGATCCCTTCCCAGAGAGGGTTTGCTGTCTGTGTTACCGTCCACTATTGTAATCGCAAATACTGCATAGTTATGCAAGTATGGTAATTCCTTTCCAGTTTCCTTCACCATCCAAAAAGTTATATTTGTAATCCCATTGAGACATTATTGGAATTCCAGCAAGTTAATTCCTATCTACCACCTCCAATACAACCCATGGCAAGAGTAACCAAGACACATTCCAAGTGAAGGGCAGCCAAGGGGTCCTAAAGTCCAATCCTTTTGAGGATGTGCGGACAAAGGCCCTGATCCTAGGCTTCTTCCAGAATTTATTATCTTGTGAAGAAGTGGGGTGACTGAGGGATGAGTGACAGTGAGGATGGAGGGAACTAGTGAGTAACTGGAGCTGGCTAGCCAGGTGGGGAGAAAAGTATCTCTGCAAAATGCAGAGATAAAGATATGCAGAAGGATCAATTTACATAATTCAATTAAGGTGGCAGCTGAATTGTTTTTGGAGGCTGTTGCTCTGGTTTCTGATGTGTAAACTTTTGTGCCCTGGAGAGTTATAGCCTCTTTACCTTGAGGCTCATACCTAGTTGACATTCCTGAAGCTGTTGGCTTTACCATCCCGATGTGATCGCTGATCACGTCTTTTACAGGAAACAGGAGACTGTCAGCTTTAGAGATTACATACCAGTACCTTGGCTAGCTTTATTTGCAGTGCTTAGAGTCAAATGAAGAGAGAAGAAAATACCACAGCCAGCTCTGTACATATCAGTATAAGGAAATAAGTCTCCCAATAATCAAAGTTGCAGCAATTGTTCTGCATTCAAGGGGAGCCCCTGGAGTTTGTTTCCCACAGTCCACACTCAACCCTCTCAGCGTACTGCAAAGTAAGTATGGTTTGGGTTCAGAAATCACCTGTCCCATCTTCCCTTCAACTCTCAATCCCTTCAAATTCCTCATTTTGTTCCTTTTTCTTTTAGAAATAAGTAACATTATTGAAGGTATGTAGATGTTTTAAGTGCTTCAAGTGCTTTGAGATGGACATTATGGAAAACACCTGTTTTTTAATGAAACAAACCTGCTTGATCAGAAGGGAACCACCTGTGTTATCCGAATCCCAGTTTGAGAACTTTAAGAAAAAGAGACTTATTTACCTGAAGCAAGGAAAAGATTGAACTTTTTCAATGACAATAATTTTCAGACAAATTTCGTGACAGATTTCATGAAAAATCATGGAAAGTATGGACACTTTTACAATGGCTCCTGATTTCCATTTAGACATACTTTTTTCCTTTAAACTTGGACATGTAAACCTACGATTACTTTATAACAATATTAATATATTTTTAGACATTTAAATTAATTCCCCAGTGATTATTTATTCTAAAATTAGACTGTTCATATGTGCTAAATCATTATTTCCTTGTGTTTTGTGTTCTTAGATTCAGTAACTTTTTGACTTTCTGTTTTATTTATTTATTAGACTAAAGTTTTTTTTTTTTTTCAATAAAGCATTTTAAAATGCTTGAGCCTCTTTCCAAAAGGCCACGTCTGTCCATGAGAGCTCTGTTTGCCAGGCTGCAGGTGCTGGCGTAAGGATAAATGCTGGGTTCTCTGTAGGTGTCAGCGCTTGAGAACCTCGTTGCTACCTGGGTCCCTGACTACATAGCACCCTATTTATTATCTCCTTGACCCAGAGAAGAATGAAGGAAGCATAGCTGACAAGAATCAAACTCATGAAAAACAGGATCCTGATGCTGTTGCAATATGCAACAAAAGGTGGAGCCTGAAAAAATATTTCTCCCTCCAAGACAGCGTGGAGGAAACTCGTTATTTTCCATCTGCTTTCTTCACACTTACTCTCAGTGTGAAGTGAAAGCAAAGTTTTAAAACTTTTTCCCCACTGCGAAGAAAATATAGTTTAGAAAACTGCAACCTAGAAAACGAAGCAATTAAGAACTGTCTAGCTGTGTGGATCTGGCCCCAGCTCAACTTAAAGCAATCACTTCATTTCTATGCATTGAGACCCACATGAGAACCAAACTCTGCAATGTGTTAAGTGACTTGACATTTTAATAAACAAACAAACAAGCTGCCATGGAATATCCTTTAAAATTATAAACACAGGGAACTTTATGAGATGCAAATGGGCATGAGATGGTTCTGCAAAGCAAGCACCCTCTGTGTTTTGAAATGAGGTACCATGGGAAAATTGAGTCTACCAACAGATCATCACCATTTCTGTCAAAAGCTTAAACTTTCTTAAAGTTTCTTCAGACCCCTACTTGGGAACTACAAACGTATAAATTCATTTTTGTACAAGTACATTGTAAAGGCTATTGTTTAATATGTTGGTAATGTTAGAGATTAAAGGTTTTTTGAGCAAAAACAACAGTTTAGAAAGTTTCATCTTTATTTAAAAAAGATATATGAAAGTTCTTTAAAGTGAATGAAATTATTATGTATCAAAAACATACACTAATACAAAAGAAACTAAAAAAGAAAAAACAACCACAAAATCAACAACAACAAAAGATATGTGAAAATTGTTACACATATATGGTACATGGGAAATTACCAGTTAATTCAATTTAATTAATTAATTAGATATTACACTCACTTTCACAGCACATAGAATAATTAGACATTAACTTAGTGGCTATAATGTGCCTAATTCTAGATTATGTTCTATTAGAAAAGCTAACATTGTATTAATTGTCATATGTATGCTCCCTAGGAAGCAAGATTTTGAAAAGAAATGTGACATGAAAATGCTCTTTTAATCTACTAAATAACACATGCGGAAGATACAAACTGATTCTGATCAGATACTTAAGTGTAAAGAGGTCAAACAATAAAGATACCTGGGAAGGGAAATTTTACTATTCCCAGAAAAAATAAAGATAGGTAACATGGATAATTTATGATTACTCGCACCCCAGGAAATTGATCACATTTTGGCAGGTGAAGATTATGAAGGCAAAGCAGCACAGACAGTTCAAAGCAGAGATGAGATATCAATAGATTCATGAATTATATGTGATTATTCTTTTTCAAAGCGTATATGAATCATGCATTTGCCATTAGGAAGGGTGATAAATCAGTTACACCTTTCAGTGATTTATAACTAGTAGACAGTTCCTTTCTTGTGTGTATTATGCTAGTTGTTGTCTTGCCTTGGTCAATAAGCACCTGTTTTCACATGAGGCTATCAGCATTTTTTCCCGCAATTTCAGGATGATGACAGAAGAATACTAAACCAAACATAGGACCATTCTAGACAAGAGGCCTTGTGTAACTCTGTAAATCTCACATCCATGAGGCTAGTCCTGCCTGTGAGGATGATCATGCTAGTGTAAATGAACTATATTTAAGACCAAACCTTTAAATCTGTGCACACGTTACTAATGTGACTATCATAGATGAACAACGATTTAATAGTCATGGATCATGACACATAGAGACATGTGTGCATTCATACAAGATTTATTAGTATTACATTTGCACAGAACACATAAAGGATTAAAATATAAAAAATAAAATTTTGAAAACCTCTGTGTGATAGTCTTTGACAAATTAACTAGGAAAAAGGTCAATTTCCAAGAATATGTAACTTATGTAGCCTATATTCAACAAGTATTCTCTGAATATTAGTTCGTGCTCATTGATACTGTGTAAGTAGGAAGGGAAAACAGAGAACAAAATCAACACATAATCTGCTCTCTGAGAAATATCACACACACTAAATTTCTAAAATTTGACTAATCTCATTTATATTTTTGCTTTCATGTTGCAACTCCTAGTTTCCTGGCTTTACTAAGATCAGAAGCAAAAGTTTCAAACCTCAGCTATTCTTGCAACTATTTAGAACTGAGGAAAATCAGGCCTCTCTGGAAAAAATGCGCTACAGTCTGTCCTTGAGAGTCTCTGAGCTGATGGCCCTCCCAGGAGCACTAAAAAGGCCCACCAGCTAACAGTGAAGTGTGCAGAAGGTAGCCTCCCCATCTGCATGACACAGGACTGCTCTAGAGGTCAGCAGCACCCACCTTACAGAAATCAGCAGCTTTTGCTTTTCAACCTTTCCAAAGAATTTACTGATCTGGTTTGGCCATTCTGGGCAACATTCCGTCCCAGAACCCCAGCTTAAATGTTCTCCGGAGCTGACCAGAGACTCCTCCTCTTTTCTCCGGGCTGGTACAACTTGACCGCTACTTGACATCAAGGTCAACTGGAGACTGGAACAGTTATGTAACTGCGTTGTAAATTGAATTAGATTTGTACATGAGCCCAGACCAAAGAACCAGGGCAGCTCCAGGCAAGAGCAGCAACATGTCCTCCAGAGACAGCACTAGAGGAACTGCCCATTGGTGGAAGGAAATAATGTGTCACAGGAAAAAAAAAAAACTCACCTCCTCCCAGCTCTTCCACAGCCAGGGCAGACTGCAGCCCTGGTGAATGGCGAGTGAGAAGGAGGCAGGAAGCACAGAGGGAGATGGTGTCATGTGGCAGATGGGCATTGAAGAAACAGTGTCATATCGCGCACAGAATGAGAAAACAGGATTTGTAAAGTCTGCGTAGATACTGCTCACAGACGAAAAGATTCTCTCATGGAGAGAAGCAAAGCCTGTGGCTGTAGTTTGTGGACTGAGGGTAAGCTAGAGGCACAGCCATCTTCCTCCTGCCTGTGATCATGTATTTATTCTAAAGAGTCCATCTGTGCAGGTCTCAAAGGGCTGGGCTGGAAATCTTTTGAATTTCTAATGACTCAGCACATTCTGCCTCACAGTCAGAGGATGGCAAGATAGAAGGGAAAACAGTAGCAAAAAGATTAGATGGGTTTTCTGCATAGGTGAATGAATACAACTTGAATAGGAAAAAAAAAAAAAAAAAATCCAGACCAGGCTGCCATCTTGGTCTTTGCTAACACAACCATTTTAAAAATAGATTAGAGAGGCAGAATAAGTGTGTAGTTATACTGCAGACACAGATTCTTAGCCTCAGCCAAATTCCAATTTCCTTCTCTGAAGGGGGGTGGTGGTGATAAAACAGAATAAATATAGAATCTACCATTATGACTTTGTGAAATTCACTGAAGTTAAGATACTCTTTGAAAATTAGCAGTCATGACTTGTCAAAACTCAAAGTAATATTAATACTTACTGAATGTTCTAATGGTTGACTTATATTTGTCCATCTATTTTTCACGATAATTCCATGAAAAACAAGAAGTAGTTCAATAATTTCCCAAGGTTGTTTACCTGGGAAGTGATAAGGTCGGGGTTTGAAGTCAGGCAGTAGGTCAAGCCATCCTTGCTCTGTATAGGATTGTGTTAATGAAAGAAGTGATGTTGGTGAACGGAAACAACAGGGAAGGTACAAACAGAATAAGAACAGTTACGAAGGGAAATTTATTGCCTGCTATCCACCATAGGGATGAATAATCAATTCAAATGACCACTGAAATGCGTGAGTACTATATGAACTAGACTTCTATCCTGATTATTTTTCTGTGGGTCCATGAAATGTTCATAACCTTCATGATCTATACTTACCCCTTCTTTATCTGTATGCTTTGGCCAGGTGAGTTCATAAATACCCAGAGTCTCAAATACACCCTTTCTGGCAGTGAGTAGTACATTTATGGATATCTAGCTTTTCATCTTTTCTTCTCAAATTTACCATTATCTTGTTTGCACTGATTTCTCTAACGGTAGTCCTTATGACATCGAGATCACATGGCAGGGTTTAATGTTATTTCTTTTTCCATTTTTTTTTTTTTTTTTGTCTTTTTCCTTTTTATCGGTACCGGGGATCGAACTCACGAGTGCCTGCTTACAAGGCAGGCGCTTATGCCACTGAGCTAAATCCCCAGCCCGTAATGTTATTTCTTACCATAAGTAGGTCAGCATTGCCATCTTTAAGACTCACACCTGCCTTGAAATATTTTTTACATGTAGTGCGTGGGAAATGGTATTTCATTTCTGTAATTTTCAAGTTCACTTACAAATGTCAAAACAGCTTTGTCTGTTATTTGGAACCTCCGGTGATTACATCTATTGAACTTTTTTCTTCCTTTATAATTAGGAGGTCCTTCCTGTGGGTTAGGAAATTAGGGATATTATTATACAAATACTTTCATATATAAGACACTTTGGGATACTTGTATAATACATTTTTAATATATTTTGATTCTTTATGTCTCTTCCTATATCATCTTTAAAATTTTCCTGTATTCAAATGTTTCCCTTAATGAATTCAGCATTCTTATATCTTCAAAAATTATCTTGCTGGGCATGGTGACACATACTGTAATCCCAGCACTTGAGAGACTGAGGAAGGAAGATTGCTGCAAATCTGAAGCCAACCTGGGCTACAGAGTGAGCTCAAGTTCAGCCTGAACTACATAGTGAAACTGTCTCAAAAAGACAAGAAAAAAAAGTTGTCTCCAATGCATGACTCTCTAGCACAATCTCCCAAATATCCTGTAATGTTATCATTTCCTTTGAAAGTCTAAGTATATAATCCATCTGATTTTTGTGTATGTTATATTGTAGCTATCCATTTTTTTTTCCTGGAAAACTCAAATTTATTAAATAAATTTCATTTTGATATAAATTAAAATGTCATTTTTGCCACATATTGAATTACATCGCACTTGGAGCTATTTAGTCTCCCCTATTCAGTTCCACTGCTGTATACTGTTTTGGGTGCTCTTATCATTTTTACAGTAAGCTTTAATGTCTGGTAAATCAAGTGGTCCATAGGTATTTAGTTGGCATATATATTTTCCTCTAGATTCAGTGTTCTAGATATCCCCCATCATGTGTGCCAAATGGGCTTGTTCTCCTTTGTGGGCCTGAGCACAGGATGTAGTCCCTTTGCCTTGGCCCTGAAATACAAAAATGACTTAGCAATATATGATGTTCTTGAAGGCCACCTGTCACAGTAGTTCAGTGCACGAGCCCTGGAGTCACGGTGCCCAGGTTGGCACCCTAGCAGCTCAGTGCCCTTGAACAAATCACCTCACTCATCTCGTCCTAGTTTTCCTTACTAGAGAAGGGAGAATATCGTGGTATTACCAGGCATTAGGCTCATATGCACACATTCACTTGCCTTTGGGTGCCAAGGAAAAAGGATTTATTCAAAGCTAGCTCTGAGGAGATGGAGGGGCCTATTTGCCTCAAGTTTCCATTTCCCCATATATAGGTGGGGGGACTTTTATAGCAAGGAGCAGAGGGGAGGGAGCACAGAGAGACAAGGCCATCTCCACCCTTGCTTTATTACCTCCGGCTGTTTCAGCCTATCCTCCTCTTTCTTGTAGAAAAGAAACCATGCTCCTGGGGCTGGCTTCTCCATATTCCGTCCCTTCTTTTGGGCTGAGGAGAGGAGTGT